CCTCCGCCCCCCGCCTCCTCCGCCCCCCACCTCCTCCGCCCCAGTGCGCCGCCTCCCGGGGCTACCCGGCTCTTCGGCCCGACTACGCAGGCGCGAGGCTGGCAGCTGCAGTCGGCCGCGGTTGCCTTGGAGACCGGGCGGAAGCTGTCCTATGGTTGGCAGGCTACCGAGAAGATGGGGGTGGAGCCAGAGGAGGAGGAGGAAGGCTCCGCCGTGGAAGAGGTCGCCGCTTGCGCTATGGAGCGGGCTCCCGCGGGGACGGAGAGGAGCTCGCAGGGTGTGCGGCCGGGGTGGGAGCCGGAGGGCGGCGGGCGTTGGGGTGCGGCCTCCCCGCCGCGCTCGTGCCTTGCCTGGGGAATGCGGGCACTCGGCCTCGGGCGGGCTCCGGCACCCTCGGGCCGGCCCTGGGCGGGCGCTGCGTTGCTGCAGATCCGGTGCTCCTGCCTTCCTCTCCCGGGCGGGCGGCCTTCACAGACCACCCGAGGGGACGGCAGGCGCTCTGGCAGGGTTGAGGACCTTGTCACCGCTTTAGAGACCTGGCTTCGGTCCAGGTAGGAAAGGATGGCCTTGAACCGTGGGTAGGCGGGAGTCCCTCCCGAGACCCGCCTCCACCTCTGCCTGTCGGGCTTGTACTGCCAGACTCCGGTGTCTGAAGGCGTAGGCACTGTGTTCTTATCCTCCGACTTACTTTCTTTTTTCAAACTTAACAGAAGAGTTGTGACAGAGTTATCAACATTTTACATCGCCTTGGCACATTTATCAGAATACTGAAATTCCTACACACCTGGTACCTTAATGGACACACTGAATGGCAAAATCTGAATACAGTGCGCCCACCTGTAGTCAGCTTTTGGCATTTTTTTTTCGCCCCACCAGTGTGCTTTTCCTGGCCCAGGATCAGGGTGTAATACCACATTGCAGTTAGCCTGCTCTGTAATTAAAATCAGAAATTGTTTCTGTTGCCTCCTTTACAAACTTCCATGACATAAACCAGCTTTTTTCTTTTCTTTCTGATTTCTGGTGGCTCTAGGTTTTGAGGTACAGCCCTTGGACCCAGTTTTAAAAATTAGTCTTTCCATTTAGTAATTATTTGTTGTCTTTTACTTCAGGCACTGTTAAAGGCACTGGAGACCTAACTGTAAAACAGGAAATCTTTCTCTCACATGGCAGCTAAATTTAGTACCCTGTATCCCACGAGTTATTTTGCTATTTTGTGTTTCAGATGATTTTTTTTAATTGTAGAGACAGGCCACTTCGAGTAATTTTCAATTTGGTTGAAAATTACATTGTTAAAGCTTTTTTGTTTCTATTTCAAACCTACTGTAAATGTGTCATCTACTAGCTCTTGTGCCATTCATTGCTAGTCAAGATTTTTCCCCCTGAAATTAACTACTCAAAGGTAGAGAAAAATGCAGAACTCAAAGAAGTACTAATTAAGTAAACAGGACTGAGAACCTTATCTGTAGATGGAATTTCATGTCCTTGTGCTTTATAGATGCTTTTGTGCATCTAAAAAGTTGGCATTCTATACATAAATCCCTGGGGGGAAATCCTTAAGACCTCTATATAATCTTTCCCAGATGAAGTGTTTTAAGGAACTGGTAATAGTGCACAGATGGTAAGCAACCTGAGTACGTTCGTTTTTCTTTGTGTATTGTACAGCAATTCATGATCAAGAGATGCCAACACCAACACAGATTTCTTCATCCAGAGTCATAATGCACGTGGATCTGGATTGCTTTTATGCCCAAGTAGAAATGATCTCAAATCCAGAATTAAAGGACAAACCTTTAGGTAATCCTCATTGATGTTATCCTTGTGTGATGAAAGAATTAGTGTCTCATATGACTTTATTCTGATCTATTAAGCATATTATGAGAGATCTTGGAATCTATTTTTATGTACTTTATAAACAGCAACTTATTGGCTCTGCTACCAAGAGTAAAATCCAGAAGACTCCCTTCTTCAATAAACCTGACATTGGCACAGGTAACACATGACCAGAAACCAGAATCAACTTTTAATCTGTGCTGGTCACTTCCTTCTCTGGCACATAGATAAGGAAAGCAGAGGTCGTCCTTCCTGCACACAGAAAGGATCTCAGTACACACGTGAAGAACATCTCTGCTTTCCTTGCTGCTACTCTCCTGTCCCGCCGAGTTTGGTTTCATAAATTCCCACCTCGTCTGTTGGTTCACTGATGAACAAAGGGATGACTAGTTTTTTTATTTTCTAAGGTGAGGCTACGCTCTCAAGGATTTAGATTAGGGAATCTTCTTTTTCCCCCTCTGAAATAGTTCTGATTAGCACAAAATTCTCAGCAGTAACTTCTTAAGGTGTGTGTGATTAGGAAGTACAGTAGTTGATTTTCATGAAGTGATATTCTCAGTAATCTTTTGTTTACAAATACATGACCAACTCAGGCTGTGACATACAGTGGAAGTCATGGTATATACATTGAGATCTATCTGAGGAATTTGCCAGTCCAATTTTGTTTGATTTTTTGAGACAGGGTCTCCCTGTGGCCCCAGCTGGCCTGGAATTCAATATGTAGATCAGGCTGGCCTTGAATTCACAGAGATCCATCTGCCTCTGCCTCTCAGGTGCTGGGATTAAAGACATGTGCTACCACACCTGGCCTGGATTTTTATCATACAGTTTACTGATGAATCTTAGATTATTACCTTTGAGTCAGTGACTATATTTTTAGGCATAATCTGGTATATGAAAAAACTTAACCTGCAAAAATGTTTGTCTTATAATGTTAAAGATTTTTAAATAGGTCACAGGAACAGATGTAGCGTTTTTCTTTTCCATATTTACAGTGTACATATTTTGGCTGAATATGGCTTAGCGTGTCATGGAATAATCAATGTGTAAAAAGAGAAAGCAAATAATTTGGCATTAAGTCCCCAGTAATGAATTTTTGTGTATTCTGTAAGTGGCCGTGATGCAGTCATTTCTTAGAGAATTCACAATGACTCCCCATAATAAAATTCCAAACTTATGAGCTGTAGTTCAATGCTTATGGTATTTACTGGGAGGAGATTGGTTATGATTGCTCTAGCTTGGCTCTCAGAGTATTGCCAATGTTCAATTTACTCAGAAGATAAATGAATTTTTCTGCCTAGCAGCAACCAATATTTAATTTTTGTTCTTTTCATCTGGTTTATTGTTTTGTAAAACATATCCCAGAGTTATTACATGCTAATATAAATTAATTAGGTTTTGGGTTGCCTGAAAAGAATCTAGGAGGATTTAATTTTTGTCTTATCACTGAAAATTTCATAGACTATATTGACTTATGGTAATTTAAACTTGAGGAATATGTAGCTTACCTTTTGTATATGAATATTTATAAATATTTACTGACATTCTCATATGTAATTTCTGCTACAATTATTTAGTGTTTTCTTTTTTAATATAACTTGTTTTTTTCCCAGTTAGAAAAGTCTGAAGATGAAAGATAGGATATGGGAAAATAACATCAATATTTTATAATTTGTAAGTGGAAGACAGCTTAAAATTCTGGGGTTGGTGAGATGTCTCAGCACGTAAATGTTGTTGATGTCAAACCTGACAGCCTTGGGACTTACATGGTAGAAAAGGAGAGAACTGATTCCCACAAGTTGTCGTTTGATTTCTACACGTTTCTTAGAATTTTACTGGAGGTTATACTTTTCCTTTTTTTCTTTAGGTCTTTTTGAGACAGGGTCTCCTTGTAGCCCTAGCATTGAACTCACTATGTAGACCAAACTGGCCTCCATCTTACAGATTTTTAACTGGGATATCTTTTTGTTCTTATCAAAACCCATTGCTAGCTGGGCAAGGTGGTACAAGTCTGTAATCAAGGTGGTGCAGGTCTGTTATTCCAGCACGTGCAGAAGGTGGCAAGGGTGGGAAGATTTCAGGTTAGAAGCCAGCTTGGGCTACATGGGGAGTTCAGTGCTAGCCTGGTGGGGAAAAGAGCTGAAAAAGCCCCAAGAGCACTGAGCATAGTTCAGCAGTAGAGTGTATGACTAGCATATGCAAGGCTGTGGGTTTGATCCTCATCATCACTAACAGCCACAGTAACAAACAGTACATAGCCTCTTACAGTTATTGTATGAAACTAGGAAATTGAATTTCTAAATGCTTAATCCTGCTTACTTTCCTTATAGAATATTTATTCATTTTATAGGTGTCCAGCAGAAATACTTCGTAGTTACCTGCAACTATGAAGCTAGGAAACTTGGAGTTAAGAAACTTATGAGTGTCAGAGATGCCAAAGAAAAGTGTCCTCAACTGGTATTAGTTAATGGAGAAGACTTGACCCGATATAGAGAGATGTCCTATAAGGTTACAGGTACAAGCTTGAGCAGTATATTTTTAGCATGTTTCTGTATAAATCTTACTAAAGTGCCACACATCTAGTTCCTTTTTTATTTTGGGTCTTGTCTACTTCAAAAATTATACAAGGGGTTGGTGAGATGGCTCAGCAGGTAAAGGCTCTTGATGCCAAACCTGACGACCTTGGGACTTACATGGTGGAAAAGGAGAGAACTGATTCCCACAAGTTGTCCTCTGACTTCCACATGTACTGTGGCATGTGTCCCTCTCTCCCCAAAATAAATAGATAATTTTTTAAAACTATAAAGTGATTTTCAATGTTATGCGAAAATACATAGTTGAGAATAATTTGAATTCTGTCTGTAGTGTTTATAAAGTAGCAGAAAAATGTAATACGAAGTTTTCAAAGTGAAATGGAAGAAAATACTGTAAAGAAAGACTTTTGTGTGTGCAGTGTACATGTGTGTACATGTTTGAGTATGTATATTTGTGGAGGCCAAAGGTCAATGTCCAGTGTCTTCCTCTATTGTTCTACATCTTTTTTTTTTTAATTTGTGGGTGTATATGTGGTGTGTGTGTGTGTGTGTGTGTGTGTATGTGTGTGTGTGCACGTGTCATGCAGGTGCAGGTACACAGATATGCATGTGCATGTGGAGAGCAGAGGCTGACATCTGGGTGTCTTTCTTTATACTCTCCATCTTTTTTTAGAGATGGCCTCATTGGAGCTGGAGCTCACTGATTGGCCAGACTGGATGGTCAGCAGGCTTCTGTGATCCACTGTCTCCTCCTGGCCCTCTTCCCCCACCAGCTGTAGGGTTATAGACACAACACCATGCACTGGATTTTATGTGGGTTCTGGAGATCTGAACTCAGGTCTTCATGCTCATGCAGCAAGCACTTTACTAACTAGCTGTCTCCCCACCCGAAGGACTAATATGTTAACTTTTAAGTTTAAATAAATTCTAAACAAATATATTGTTTTCTAATGTACAAATTATAGTTGGGAGATGCTTCTGTAATATTTAGTTAGCACAACTGAAACTTGTTTTTTAAAATTGTTCTTTGACAATTTCATACATGTATATAATGCATTCTGATTATTCTCACCCCGTCTCTTGATCCTCCCTTATTTCTCTCCCACTCCTGTTTACCCTCCCTCCTACAGGTCCCTTTCCCACATTCGTGTTGTTTTGTTGTTTTGTCACTAACTGAGGTTTACTGGGGCCATCTATGTGATCTTTGGTTTGGAGCTATCTATTGGAGCTTGGTAGGCTCATTCTTGTGTTCTCTGTCCTTTCAGAATCCATTCATAGCCAGTAGTTCAGCAGGGAAGGGTAGGGCTCTTTGAACCCCCTCCTGGTCCATGATTGACTGTTGACAGGCCCAGTCTCGCGTGGGCCCAGTGCAGGCAGCTGCAGCTATTAATCATGCCTGTGATGGCTGTGTCATGCTGGGAAGATGAAACTTCCCAGACCTTCTCCCTGTCTCCTGTAATGTTCCCTGAGCCTTAGAGGTTGCTAGATGGTGTCCTGCTTAGCGATGACACTCAGCCATCCCTTATCCTCAGTACCTTGAAAAGCTGTGGATCCCTGCATTCACTACCCTTCATTGTAGAAAGCTTCTGATTTAGACTGTGAGTAGCCTTTGTCTATAGGTATAAACAGATATTTAGAGGGCTGTTTAGGACCATGTCAGTTCAGCTAAACAACAGTAGTAAGTTCTTCCCTAGGGCCTAAGACCTCCTCAGCCATGGGTTTTTGATGGTTTGGTAGTGTCGGACATCACTTCCTTCTTCTGGAGTGGCTTCAAGTTCATGCAAAGAACTGTTGATTGCTCCCCTAACAGTTATGCTGCTATAGTACCAGTGAGCCTATCTTGCCTGGTTAGCAGCATTGTAGTTCATAAGGTAAGACTCTTGATGCCTTTTCTTCCCAGTAGCCTGCATTGTCCTTTCCACCATTATGAAGGCTAGCCAGCAGGGAAGAAGCTTCCAGCTCAGTTCCAGCTTGATTTCTCTGTATCTTGAGACCAAGTGTGTGTGTGCGCACGCGTGCAAGGAGATTCCCAGTACCTGGCTCTGGAATTTTTAGTAGCCCATGACTTTTAGGAGATACATTGTCCAGGTATATAGGATATCTCTCTTCTGAATCTCTTTTTAAAACATATATATTTTTATTTGGCTTCCAAAGTTGTAGATTCAGTGAGTTTCTTATACGTCCTTCATTTTGTATAACTCTCCCTCTCTGCCAGCTCAACTCTGCACCCCATCCCTGTGTAAACCTTTCCACCCCCAGTGTCACTCTCTGACTTCCTATTACTTTTGTCAGCATTGTTAGAGCCTAGCTTCTTAAGATCCTGTTAGCCAACAATAGACACGTTAATCTTAGGTTTTTATTTGCTTATTTTGGAATAGGGTCTTTCTTTGTAGCTCAAGTTGTCCTGGAAATCACTGTGTAACTCAAGATTGCTTTGAACTTGAGCAGTCCTACTTTAGCCTCCCGTGTACTGGGATTATAGGCAAAATCCATCATGTCTGGTTTATGTTTGTACTAAATATTACAGTGTATCTAAGCTTTCTAGTGAGAAGATTTGGGGTCGAGTAAGTATGATATTAGAGTATTAGTAAGTATAATATTAGTAAATATAATAAAAACCTTTATTTTTTCTGCATTAATGCTACTCATTTTCATATGAAAGGAGTTAAATATTTAATATTTCTTAGAACTCAGTGAGATGAAACCTGTTAAAAATTACCTAAGAAGCTGGGTGTGGCAGTGCACACCTTTAATCCCAGCACAGGGGAGGCAGAGGTAGGCAGATATCTGTGAGATCTAGGGCAGCCTGGTCTGCATAGCAAGTTCCAGGCCAGCCAGGGCTACATGGAGACCCTGTTTCAAAACAGTTAACACAGTTGTTAAGTGGCGGAAGTCAAGGTGGTGGCACCAAAAACAGGGAAGGAGGGGCAGCCCGGCAGCAGAGGTAAAATGACACTTGCCAAATTTCACGTAGGTTGTTATGCAAAGTGGATGTGTGTGTAAACATGAAGAGCTTCATCTGCAGTGCACATAAGCAGTTGTGTGGCTCAGTTCTGCGTCTTGCCTTTGTGCTTAGTGATCCTGTGCACCATGCCTCATCCGTTCCAGAACCCGCGGAGTACTCCATTGCAGTGCTCCGTGCTCGCCTAGCCACTCAGTGATATGGAGACAGTGCTCCATATTATGCCTACTTCTATGTAATAATGAATAGCACTTAGAAATTCTCTTGTTTTAGATGATAAAATATATGATTTCCCTCCATGGGGATGTATGATTAGGTTGTTAACAGCCTTTTTCTCTTACAGATACATGCTGCAGCACAAATTTTCATAGAGAAATTTTGACATATTTTTTTAAGGAGATAACCACAAGGGAATCCCCTTCTGAAAAGTTAAATGTAGATCAAATGTGATTTGCACTTAAAACCTGAATACTGCTATTACATTCAAGTTTCTCCCTATATATTATAACCATGTTAGATAAAAACTTTGGCTAAGGGGCTGGGGAAATGACTCAGTGGCGAAGAGCACTGGCTACTCTTGCAGAGGACTGAGGTTCAGCTCCCAGCACTCACATGGTGGCTAACAACCGTCAGTTTCAGGGGATCCGATGGACCTCTGTGGACATTGCATGCACATGGTCTGCTTACATACATGCGAGCAAAACACATATACATATAAAATTTTAAAAAATAAATTTTTAAAAATTACAGAAAACCTTTGTCTAATAAATTATCAAAAGAGTACCTAGAAAAAATAAAGGACAAAACTTTTAAATAAAGAGTTAAATAAAGACTTGTGCAGAAAGCTATTGAATCACTAGTTGTTGCTTTCATTTGTATTTCTCTATGGGTATTTCATGTGTTTTGCTCATATGTGTGTGTCTGTGTCTGTGTCTGTGTCTGCGTCTGTATATATCGTGCAGAGATGAATTCATTAGCGTTGTCTGTCATTTGGGGTGTTAATTTCCTAATTGTGTCATTTAAAAAAATAGCCTTTGATGGCCATAAATTACAAATATATTTGCAGTTTGATCTTTATCTTCTTGACTTTATTTGTATCCTCAGATCTATCAGTTTCCCTTCTGAATTCTGCACCACTGTAACTTTTCCCAATGAAGATGTCATACAGGAAGTTCAGTCATAAAAATCTAGGTTTTTTGCATTGATTTTTAATTTATGAGGTATTTTGAAAAAAACTAAAAAGAACTAATATAGCAAATCAAAATTATTTGTAGTATGACTTGTGCATTGATAAAAAGTAATTTTATGTGAATTTTTTCACAATTTTTCTGAATTGAAGTAGGAACATAGTCTTATACTGTATTTATCTCTGATCTTATATATGATCCATCTACTTTATTGTTTTATAATGTAAATAGATGCCTTTTCTTGGCCTTTGGTCAATTATATAAGGAGCTAGCGGCAAAAAGAGGATTACCCTTCAAAATGGGACGAACAATTTGTCCCTGTGACTTAGTGATAGAACAGTGTAATCAACATTTAGTGATTCACTAGCTTTGTGTGCAATTCTGTATTTAACTCCTTGGTTTCAAGTATTGCCTTTTATCTTTTCTAGGTAGTATACTTTTGCTAAACTTTTGGATGTAACTGTTAGATAGCAGGTATTGACTTTTGGGAAAAACTTGTAGCACTTAAAGAACAAGTGCACCGCAGTCTTTCACATGCAGGCCCTCCGACAGTTTCTTCTGAAAGGAGACAGTGCTCTTCTCTAGCTAGGGAGGGAGTTATTTTTGCTGTTTACCAAACTGTTATTCTGTTATACTGTTACCTTTATTCTTTCTCCCGTTATACTGTTACCTTTATTCTTTCTCCTGATATTAATGTAGGCATCTGTAAAGCAAAATTATTTTTGGTGGTCTGTGTGGAATGACTTAATCCTTTTATTTAAGATTATAGGATTAAAGACCATGAGCTCTCATTTGCTAAGAGATTTAATTTGTCTTGGATCTGTGCATTCCATATCCATGAATCAAAGCAACTATGGATTGAACTTTTAAAAAAATTGCTTCTGTACTGCCGGGCATGGTGGCGCACGCCTTTAATCCCAGCACTTGGGAGGCAGAGGCAGGCAGATCTCTGTGAGTTCAAGGCCAGCCTGGTCTACATAGTGAGTTCCAGGACAGCTGGGGCTACAGGGAGACTCTGTGTCAAAAAGACAAAAAAATAAATGAATAGAATGAATGAATAAATAAATAAATAAATAAATAAATAAATAAATAAATAAATGCAGCACTGAGCGCCTTGCACACCCAGGGTCTTAACGTTAAAGCCTCAACCCAGGGCTCCGAGCCTTAGGTGATATGCAGGACTTTGGTATGGTACTGCAAAAGGTTTTATTCCTGCGTTTTCCCTCACTCCATACAAACATGCCACCATTTGAAACATGAAAGAAACGGCAGAAGCTCAGCTTTGCCTTATGGTTTCTTATTCTTGGGAAGCAAGGGCAATTTGTTGTAAAGACATTTATTTATTCCTGAAGTGTAGTATTCCACAGTTCTGCACAGTGTTACAAAATTTTTTGACCTTAGGAATCTTGGGCCTTTCCAAATTGACCTTGGAGGGAGAGTGCTGTCGGAGAGTGCAGGGCGAGATTGCGCACCTAGGGCCCACCCTCGTCATCTCCCAGCTGGACCAGACACAGCGCGTGCGCACGCCGGTGGCTTCCCGGGCCTGGCAGGACCAGCGAGGGGGCGCCGTGCGGCCATCCCGCCGGGCCTGGAGGCTTTGCAGGCCAGCCTTGCACCTATGAAATGAAAAAGCCCACTTCAAGATTATGACTACTAATAAGCATTGAGTTTTAAAAATAAATAGTATAGATAAAGAAATTGTAGCTGTGGAAGAAAACAGAGCTACATGTATTGCTATGAGTAATTGTCCTGAATTGTTACTGTTGAACTTTATTTTTTAAAAGTATTGTTTCTATTTAAAAGTCAGTTCACTGAGGACTTTATTAAAGATTGTGGCACTGTAATACGTATATATCATCCATACGACATACACATATTTTGTATGTACATAAACATAAATTTTTTTCATGATATATTTGATATATTTTAATCTCTAAACAGTTAAATCTCTCCTAATTTTAACTTAATTTTATCTGTGCTCCAATACTATTTCAATTTAGAGTTATTGGAAGAATTTAGTCCTGTTGTTGAGAGACTTGGATTTGATGAAAATTTTGTGGATCTAACAGAAATGGTTGAGAAGAGACTCGAACAGCTTCAGAGTGATGAACTTCCTTTGGTGACTGTGTTGGGCCATGTTTACAATAATCAGTGTGAGTACACTCTTATTCGTTTCCTTTGGTGACTCTCTGTGCACATATGTGATATTCAGTGAGTTCACTGATAGATTTGTGACTTTTTTTGAGTTATAGTCATGTTTATTAAGTAATCTGAGATGGCCTGAATGAGGTATTGCTAGTCCATATTATGTATTCACAGAAGTTTAATGATGTGCAGTTTTCATCTCTCTCACATAGTATATCCCTTCCCATTAATTTACCCTTCCTATTTAAAAAAAAATTTTATTATTTTATGTGTATGAGTGTTATACCTGCATGTAGGTCAGTGCACCTGTGTCGTGCAATGCCCGCGGAAGACAGAAGAGGCTGTTGGATACCCTGGAACTGGAGTTATGGGCAGTTGTTAGCTGCTGTGTGGGTGCTGGGATTCGAACCTGGGTCTTCTGCAAGAACAGTGTTCTTAACCACCGAGCCATCTCTTCAGCCTACCCTTCATATTTTTAAGAACCATACCTCTTTAGGTCATCCTTAAATTATAGAAATTGACTTGTTACTATGTTTTGGTTTTTTGGGGTTTTTTTTTGGACTGACTTTTAATTCTTCTGCCTCTAAGCAGAATTTTGTGGTAGGTAAAATATACTGTTAATGTATGTTTTCATTGATCCTTTCTGTTCCTCTGAGGCACTGAGAGCCTCCTGTTGGTCCCTAGCTTTCCAGCATACCACCCATGAATGTTGTCCAGACCTATCTGTCACAGGCCTGTCTGTTGAGCTGGTTTCGTCTCCAGGTTCCTGCTTAATCAGTTCAAATGATCATTAACAACAGTTAAGAAGAAAGCAGCATGGCACTTTCACATATTAAGGTGTGAAGGACTGATGGTGTTTCTAGGGGTATTTGTATCTGGAAATAAGTCACACTAACCACCAGTGAATATCTAATTAGGTTTTTAGACATCTTGTGGCTGCTAGTGAATCGCACATACCATGTAGAAGAAACTCTTTGTGTAAGAACTGCCTGACCTATTGGATCCTATGTCTTAGCATGTACTTCCTTTTATGCCCCTGTTTTGAGTCTGCAGTGTAGTCTCCATAGAAGAAAAGGTGGTAGAACCACCATTTCTAGGATACATGAAGCTTTTCATGTATCTTTTGTGTGCTTTTCTGTGCTCTTTTGCCATTTCCCAGGTGTTCTGGTTTGGTTTTCTGTTTCTGTGATAAATGTCATGACCAAAAGTTACTTGGAGGAAAGGGTTTATTTCATCTTGCAGCTTACAGTCTATCCCTGCAATTCGAAGCGGGAACCTGGAGGTAGGAACTGAAGCAGAGACCACAGATGAATACTGCTTAATGACTTCTTCCCTGATTTGCTCAGTTACCTTTCTTGCACAGCCCAGGCCCACCTGCCTATGGATGGCACTGCCCACAGTGGGCTGGGCCCTCCTACATCCACTAGCAATTGAGAAAATGTGTCACAGACATGGCAAACCCGGTGAAGGAAATTCCTCAGTTGAAGTTCCCGCATCCCTCGTGTCTTTAGTTTATGTCACATTGACCCAACTACTCAAGCATGCTAGGGCTAAAAGCAGTAAGATTCCAAATAGAGTTTTGTATATTTTTTTAAAGCAAAATTAGACTTTATTGGCTATATTCTTTTTTAAGAAATATCTTATTATTTTTATTTTATACTTATGAGTGTTATGTCTGCATGTGTCTGCGTGCACCCATGCCATGCAATCCCTGAAGAGGACAGAAGAGGGTCTCAGATGCCCCAGAGCTGGAGTTACAGATGGTTGTTAGCCACCATGTGGGTGCTGGGATTCAAACCTGAGTCTTCAGCAAGAGTAGCCAGTGTTCCTAACCACTGAGCCATCTCTCCAGCTCCTGTAATATATTCTTGTACAGATAATTAGATTTTATATTACAAATGAAAAATGCCTAATTATGTATTGGTTTTCCTCTTCCATATAGAGTTTTAAATGTTTTTCTTTCAAACCAATAGATTATATTGGTAGAATACTAAAGTGAACACTGTTGTCTATTACAGATAAACCAATTATCATTTTTCCACATTTTTATCTTCTTCTCTGTGGACTGTTGGCTTGATCTCCAGTAGGTTGCAGACACTGCAACATTTCATCTCTAAATCTTTCCAGCATGAGTGCTGAGGATAAGGATGGTACCATATAACTCTAATATCATTTCACACCAAAGAAAGTTCATTTCTATATAATTTCCCTCTAAGTTTCATAAGCTCTCCTAACCTGTGAGTAGGTCAGAAATTGCAGCAGCACGTACAGCTAGTGTGTGAAGATTAGATTTAAGTCTTTGACAATATGATGTTAGTTTGCTTACTACATAATACTTATGTACTTATTTATTGGTAAATGTGAAAAATAGTTGTATGTCAGTAGGAACTTCTTATGACATACATTTTTATAATCTGTTAATGATTAAGTACTCCCACGATACATTTTTTATCACAGGCCCTTGTAATTCACTTGTGGTGTACTTGTTTACTTTCCAGTAACCTATGAAGAACTAAAGAAATAAGTCAAGTGGGAAGGGTTGTGGTACTGATGGTATGAGGGATTGGCTATAAGAAAAACCCTGTGCCTTTTAAAAACCATTTGGGAAAAAAAATAATGTTTCTTATTGTCTTAACATTGTCTTTGTAGCTGTAAATCTGCATGACATCACACACATGAGACTTCTGGTTGGATCTCAGATTGCAGCGGAGATGCGAGAAGCCATGTATAATCAGTTGGGGCTCACTGGCTGCGCTGGAGTGGCTCCTAATAAACTATTGGCAAAGTTAGTTTCTGGTGTTTTTAAACCAAATCAACAAACAGTCTTACTACCGGAAAGTTGTCAAGATCTCATTCATAGTTTGAACCACATAAAAGAAATCCCTGGTAAGAGAGATATATTTGAAGAGTGCATGTTGGCTTTGCTGTATTTCTTTAATCCTAAAATTTATAAATATAGTACAGTTAATTCCTAGAGGCATGTTCTTGGCTCTTGGGGAAAGAAAGTTAAAAAAAAAAAACATGAAATGAACAAAACTGCACGAGGAAATATCTGAAAGTCCATTTCCACATACGATTCTAAGAGCCACAACCTGGAGACATACAGTCCTTTACTTCCAGCCTCACTATCTGTACATTGAACCGAGTGAGGTGAGTTCATATTTTACTCTCTCTTGTGGATCGTATATAAAATATGAGTGCTAAAATGAACCTTCCAAAGCTTCTAGGTCAAGTTCCTGATTAAAGAAAAAAATGAGTATCTGTGTGTATGTATGTATATATGTCTGTGGGTATGCATATATGACTCAAAGTCGACCGTTAGCCTTCACACAGAGCTAGAGGTCGACTTTTTGAAGTCTTCCTCAATGTCTCCCAAGTTTTGAGACAGGGTCTCTCATTGGACCTGAGCTTGTGGATTGGCTAGACTGGCTGGCCAACAAGCCTGAGGGAGCCTCCTGTTACCTCCTGCCCACTGCTGGAATTACAGAGGTATTATGCTGCCCCCAGCTTTTTATGTGGGTGCTGGGGATCTGAACTCAGGTCCTAGTACATGCTTTGTAAGCTCTTTACCAACTGAGCAACCTCGTCATCCCTCAAGTTCCTCATTTTAAAAGGCAACTGAATGGAGTTCTTTAAGGAGTTCACTGGCCTATTTAGTAGGTTATGGACAAGTTTATTTCTTTGAAGACCAAATAATCTGTGTTTTTATAGGCCATCTAATATTAATGGTATCTCAGAGTTCACTTCTATAGTAATGCCTGGGCATAAGATGTGGAAGTAAATTTATGAAACAACAAAAACTTAACCCTATTAGGGATGTTGTAACTTCCCCTTTTTAATCAATGTCCGTGTGATTTAGTTTATATTATAGCCCAGCTTACTTTCCTCAGTATAGTATATAATTGGAAGTTTTGAGCCTAATGAACAATATTAAATTGTAATGTACTAAGGCCTCTTATGTAAAACACTTGGATTTATTTTTCGAGTTACTACACCCTGTTGTTTTGAGACAGGGTCTCATGTAGCCTTAGAGTCTCATGGTAGCTTGGAACTTGCACTGTACCTAAGGTTAACCTTGAATTCCTGATCCTTCTCCCTCTTCCTTCTGAATTCTGAGTTTACAGTCATGCACCACTATGCCAGTTTTAAGCAGTGCTGTCTCAAGTGTAGGGTTTACCAGCCAAGCATTCTGCCAGCTGTGCTGTCATGGCCAGCCCGCACCTGTATTTTTAAAGGCTTTTACCTTTTCTTTTATGGCCAATTGTCAGTCTTCCTTTAATTCCACTGTAAAAGAATCTGTCACTCCACTTTAGTAATTTCCCTACATACCTGTCTCCTTTGATTTACTGCTTTTACTGCGTAAGGAAACCAGATAACTGCATAGAATTACTATTTTTAAATGAAATTAACCAAGAGACATTAAATAGCTTATTTCTCCCGTGAATAAAATATAACTAGTTGTAGTGTAAGAACTTTGTGGGTGGAATATAACTTTTCTCACAGTTATATTCTGGATGGTAAATATTACTAGATATGAGTAAGGATGAATGTATAGTATGGTGTTTACAAATTAGATTAGCAGTTTTAATTGCTGTAGTTACAGTCTTTTCTGCTTACATGAATTATAACTGATTTCTGAGCTCTTTCACAGTATTTTGTAGCACAGGTTATTATAAAGTTTATTTTATCAAGACAGAATGTATTAGCTATCTCTTAGATCATATTGTGTGTTAGGAAGGATTCAAAGGAGTTTGTGTAACTCAGGGACCATAAGTGGAAGAAAACAGCCTAATATACAGTGGAGTTTGATCTTAGCAAGATATTGAGGAAATTAAATACGTTTTGAATTTTTCTAGTTGTTATTGTTTTGCTTTTTGAGACAGGTCATAGATCTCACAGAGATCCAACTGCCTTTGCCTCTTGAGTGCTAAGATTAAAGTCCTGTGCCACCACACCTGGCCATTTTAACTGGGAAAATGAACAACAGACCTCAGTCTTATCTGAAAGAATGTTGGCAACTGATTGCTGCTAGAGGAAGAAGAGCTAATCTTCCTAAAATATTTAAAGTAGCTTTATTTATTTATTAATTTATTTATTGGTCTTTTTGTGACAGGGTCTCTCTGTAGCCCCAGCTGGCCTGGAACTCACTATGCAGACCAGGCTGGCCTTGAACTCACAGAGATCTGCCTGCCTCTGCCTCCCAATTGCTGGGATTAAAAGTGTATGCCACCACACTCAGCAAAGTAGCTTTATTTTAAGAAGCAGAGCTTTTGCAACACTGTGCACATTTCTTTTTATTTAGGTATTGGCTATAAAACTGCCAAACGTCTTGAAGTACTGGGAATAAATAGTGTGCGAGATCTCCAAACCTTTTCAACCAAAACATTAGAAAAGGAATTAGGAGTTTCAGTTGCTCAGCGTATCCAGAAGCTCAGTTTTGGAGAGGACAACTCTCCTGTCACACCCTCAGGACCACCTCAGGTACATGAACATGGTATTTTAATTACGTACTGGTTATTATATTATTTAATTAAGATAAAGATGTTTAGTTTTAGTATCATGTTCTCACTATTCTTATTTCCTTTTCAGTTTAATAGTTTTAAATCTTGTTAGTCATTTTGGTTAACTGTTTATAAAGCAAAATATTTTAAACTTTTAAAAACCTTATTTTGAGATAATGAGTGGGAGAAGGTATCACTGGGAACATGGATTTTTTTCTTATGTGACAAGCACTTCGGTCCGTGGATTTTCACAGTAAGCCTTTGAGCTAGGGAGTACTGTTTATTCATCCCTTCTTCTTCTCTCCTGCCCTCCGTCCTTTTTGCCTCTTGTTTTAAGATGATGGTACTGTACTTTGAAAAGGTTGAAGAACTTGGATCCAAGTATAAAGGCAGGTTAAGTTCTAGGGATTAAGAGCCTTATTGTAATCACACAGAAAAGGCTTGAGTTGGTTCTTTGTACAATGTAATTTTTGTGACTTGCAGTGTACTTTCTAATGCAGTATGTAAGTGCACCTACAAAGAGTGAGTGTGAAAATGAACCAAATGTTCAAATTAAGCATATGTGGTAACTTTGTAAAGAATATGTTGAGTATTTACTTGACATGGACGCTGTATGTAAGTTTATATTAATTTTTGTTTATATCTCTTTGGTAGTCCTTTAGTGAAGAAGATTCATTTAAAAAATGTTCATCAGAAGTTGAAGCTAAAAAAAAGATTGAAGAACTACTTGCTAGCCTTTTGAACAGGTGATTTTCAAATCATTTTGAAAAATCATCCTTTATATTCATCTTGTATGCAGTACATGGAAGAGACTGCCACAAGTTCTCTCCTGGGTCTTACAGATCGAGAGTAAACAGTGTGAGCCAAGATAAATCATCTGTCATTAGATTTATCTGCATTATAAACTATTGCAAAGACAGTAATATGTGCTGTAAATAAAATTACTTCCATTAGTTTTCATTCAAGTAACATGGAGGTTATATAGTAGATCTGAAGGGACTTCATAGGCATTTCTGATATTCCTAGATGTTTTATAATTCTTAAGTGAGAAGGAGGTTTAAAACTTTCCCAGTAGATTTTGGAAAATCTTTGCTCCTAATGTAATAATTACTTGCTTTTCTGTTAAAGGGTAAAAAAATGCAGAGAAGAGTAATTCTGTCAAGAGTCTGAAACTATTTAGAAACAGGTTTGCAAATTTTGGGGGGTTCAGAATAGGAAGTTATTAACACAGCAGTGGTAGAGAAAACAGGAGAAGTGTTCCATCCCCTTTGTCTCAGACTGTCTAAAAGAAAATGGAGTCGAAGGAAGAAATGACTAATAGGGGTCTGTGTGAGTGAATGTATCTGTGTTCAGGGACTCTGACCTCAGAGTTAACTTGAAGTGTCAATCGGGATGCAAATACGTGGAGTGTAATATAAACTGAACAGAAAATTTGGTTTTCTGATGATCCCTAGTGTCTGTCCTACATGGGTTTCTTATTACTTCATAAAAGAGCAGTGGTATCCTTTCCTTCATTACTTCATCTTGTTTTAGAAATGTCTCAAAATGGTTTCAAGTATGTGTGCTTCTGTAATGATCCCAGGAGAGCTAACTATATATGGAGAAAACAGCATGGGGCTGATTGTAAGTCTCAGAAAAGGATGGATGGACTGAAGTTGCTTCCAGTTTTGCTGTCACATGCAGTTTGCCTCATGTCTGGACCAGAGCCATGCAGTGCATTTTTGGCTGATACGCTGAGGCTGTTTATGACTCAGCTCCAGTGATATGGCTCAGACTGTGTTGGGGGGTGTGCTAGTGAAACTGGGTCATCAGCTCAGTCCTCAGCTAGTTATGAGTACCCTGAAATGCGTGGCTGTGAGAAACGGTCCTACGCATAGAGAAACCACAGGAAGTGTACATTATATAGTTCTCTTACTTGAAGAATCAATCCAGAAGTGAGAACAGGTGCTCTAAACTTCAGAGATACCCGGGATTTAGTATCTATTCATATCTCTGCTTGCCAGTTCCCACAGCACCTTATTTTGGTGACTGAGATATATAGAATCTAAGTAACTGATATCAAAATAAATCCATGGATCTGTGTGTCTGTGTGTGTGAAATAGCATTTTTCTTCTAAAGTATCTAATGATTAATTTCTACAAGTATGAAAGAAGGGTAAAACCATATATTTTAAAAAAAATCCATTCTCTAGACACTAGTTTAAAATTGCTTCTGCCTTTTCTCAATGTTTTAACTGACACATCATTTTGTTTAAATTTTATTTTTTTATTTTTTGATTCTTGTTTTTACGTGTTTGAGTGTATTGCCTGCATTTGTGTAAGTGCACCCATGTCATGCAGTGCCCGTGGAGAACAGAAGAGGGTGTCAGATCCCCTGGACCTGGAGTTATGGATGGTTGCTAGCTGCCATGCGCATGCTGGGATTCGAATCTCGGTCTTCTGTAAGAGCAGTCAGCGCTCTTAACTGCTGAGCTATCTCTCCAGCCCTCTTTAAAATTTGTAATTGTTTAAAAGAACATGTTTAGCTAGAAGATATTAAAACTAATAACATGTTTATAGTGACCACTTGAGGTATTTTATTATCTTAGTTGGGCAGCCATCTACTTTTGTGATAAAGCAGTAAGAGACAGTCAAAGATGCACTTGCTATAAAACACATTTTGGAATCATCATTTTGAATATGTTTAAAATATCTTATTGTTTGAGCACTGTAAGTTAAAAAAGAACATTTATTTTTACAGTAATATTTTCTACTTTTAAGTGAACTTTCTTTAAATCATGAAATTTTAAAATATTTTTTATTATTGAACTTTTTCAAATTTCTTGCAATATATTTTGATCAAATTTAGGTCCCCTCCCCCATCCCTACTTCTCTTATCAGTCCCCACCCAATTTCAAATACTCTCTCTTTATATGTAAAATAAATATTAAGGCCAAACATGTCTCCAAATGCCCTTCAGTGTGAGTCCATCCACTGGAGCAGTAGTAGGTTCATTTCTAGGGTCTATGATTTCTCCAGCCGTGGATTCTTGGCTGGATATATAGTACTAGGTGTTAGTTCCCTTCTGTTGAAGAGACCTTAAATTCAGTCAGAGGGCTGTTGGTTTCTCCCAAGATAGTAATGCCACTGATGCACAATTGGGCATATCTTGCCAGGCCAGTCATTATTGTAGTTCATAGGCTTTACAGTTGGGTGAGACTGTTGATTACTTTTCTTCCTTGGCAGCTTGCAGAGCATATTCTGACATTCTGAAAACTAGCCATCAGGGAGGAGGCTTCCAGGGCACTTCCAGCTTGATTTCTCCAAATCTTGTGACTAAAGTATGTGATTTCTTCAGCAGTAGGATTTTAGATTCAAGTTGTGGCAGGCAACCAAGAGTAATGACAATAGCCCGTATTGTTTTGGGGGGGTCTCTTGGATCCCATTAACCAATAACTCAAAGGGAGGTCCTCTGCCTGGCACTGGGCTTTTTTTATTTTTTTTATTTTTTTTTTTAAGGAAGGCACAGGATGAGCCTGGGACCAGCCAAGAAACAGGTGTACCTACCGCGCTGGGCTTTTTGATTGTAGCTTCTGAGGAGGAATATATATATATATATATATATACACACACACACACGATTATAAAATAGTGGGATTCCCAGTGGCCTTATTTTGTGTTACTTACTTTTCCCCTTTCTCTGAACTCTACTTTAACTCCCATTGCTCTCCTTACTTGTCTGCCCCTCCCCATTTTTCCTCTTTCCTCCTTTGTAGCTCCTGTGTTCTGCTATCCCTTTCTGTAGAGCTTCCCCTACAGTTCCTTTCTACTTTCCTGGATTCTACTGCTACTCCAAATTATACACTCAGACTCAGACTCAGACTCAAAGCAAGGATCCATATATAAGAGAGAATATTTGTCTTTCCGGGTTTGAGCTACATCACTCAATGTAATATATTCTAGTTCCGTCCATTTACTTGCAAATGTCATTCCATTTTTCTTTACAGCTGTATAAAATTCCATTGTGTATTTACTGCATTTTCATTATCCATTCATCAACTGAGGGACACCTGAGCTGTTACCATTTCCTAGATTTTGTGAATAGAGCAGCAGTGAACATGGATAGGCAAGAATCTGAAGTAGAATATCAAATCCTTTGGGTATTTGCCCAGGAGTGATCTAGCTGGGTCATATAGTAGTTACATATTTAGCTTTTTGAGGATGCGCCATAGTGATTTTCACAGTGGCTGTGCCAGTTTGCACTCCCACCAGCAGTGAATAGAGTCCCCTTTTCCCACATTCTTGACAGCATTTGTTATCGCTTGTTTTTAACTCTTAGCCATTCTGACTGGGGTGACATGAAATCACAAAGTAGTTTTAATTTGCCTTTCCCTGATTCCTAAGGATGTTGAACACTTTTGAAGGTATTTCTTAGCCCTTTTTATTTCTTTTGTGAACCCTTGTTCAAATCTAAGCCTGTTTTTTAATTTGATTGCTTTCTTGATGCTTTTTTTAGTTTTTTTATATGTTAATCTTCTGTTGGATGTATAACTGGCAAACATTCTTGCTGGGTTTAATATGTCATTTTTAGTTTTGTTTTAGATTATAAAACAGATTGTTCTACTTGATAGCATTTATTTCTGAGTGAGGCCTGTGAGTCTTCACATTTGAAATGTCAGAGCTTTACTGTGTAGACGTTGAGATATTTATTTGAGTAATCTTATTGCTTACTATTTCATTTTCTATTGCATATGTAGTTACTATAGTTGCCTAATCTATTTTCAATAAATGAGGCCTTCTATCATTTTAAAAAGGTAAATACATTTTCTAATTCTGTATGTCCATTTTCCATTTATTTTTAGAGTATGTCATGATGGAAGGAAGCCCCATACAATAAGATTAGTCATCCGTCGATATTCTGAGAAGCACTGTGGTCGTGAGAGTCGTCAGTGCTCTATTCCATCCCATGTAATTCAGAAATTAGGGAAAGGTATGGACTAGTTTTCTAAGAATTTAATTGGAAGTTTGAGCTCTTCGAAAAGCAAATTTTGAATTAGAAATATGTTCCATTAAAAGAGAATCTTTTCCTGGAGTTCAGTGGAGTTAGAAAACAATTAGATGTTTTCATTCCATCAGGTATGTCATTAGGAAAACATTTTTTAGATAATAAGATACCCAGTTAAGAATGTTTCCCAACTTCAAAGTGATCAAAATTATGATAATTATATAGTGTAATTTTAGTAGTAAGGTCAAAATGATCAATGATCCCAATTTAGGATTTTAGTTTTTCTTAATATTTCATTTATTATTTTTATTTTATATGTATGAGTGTATTGCCTTCATGTATGTAAGTGCACTCATGTCGTGTAATGCCCACAGAGGTCAGAAGAAGGTGTTGGGGCCCCTGGAACTAGAGCTATAGACAGTTGTAATCCACTATGTGGGTGCTGGGAACTCAACCCGGGTCCTCTGCAAGAGCTGCTAGTGCTCTTAACCACTGAACCATCTCTCCAGTCTGGATTTTAATTTCTTAACCAATACAAGTAATATTCTTTTAAAATATTAATGTGCTATATATTTTTTATATCCTTAAATATTTGATTTAGGAAATTTTGATGTGATGACCCCCCTGGTTGATATACTTATGAAACTTTTTCGAAATATGGTGAATGTGAAGATGCCATTTCACCTTACTCTTCTCAGTGTGTGCTTCTGCAACCTGAAAGCACTGAATACTGCTAAGAAAGGACCTATGGATTATTATTTAACACCGTCCTTGTCAACAACGTCACACTCTGGCAAGCGCAGCTTTGTAAGTATACTCTTGTTTTCTGTCCAGTTTTTAAAAAATATTTTATTGTTATTTTTATTTTACATCTATGCATGTATTGCCTGATGTGCGTAAGTGCACTTGTGTCGTGCAATGCCTGTGGAGGATAGAAGAAGCCACTGGATACCCTGGAACTGGAGTTACAGACAGTTGTTAGCTGCCATGTGGTATTGTGATTTGAACCCAGATCTTCTGCAAGAACAGCTAGTGTTTTTAACTGCTGAGCCATCTCTCTAGCCCCTTCTGTTAGGTTTTATAAGTCTACTCTTATTGCATTTATGTGGTTAAAAGACAAATCTGGATCTAAATCAAGACTAGTCTGGTCTACATAGGGAGATCCGGGCCAGCTGGTGCTACAGGAAGATTCTGTCTCAGAAAACAAAACAAAGACAAATCTAGGTTTGTGTTTAATGCTATTTAGAGATTCTCCAGGTGTTATTGTGTGGATGATTTACTTATTTCTAGTGCATGTCACAGTATGGTTGCTGGCCTTCTTAGATTGTGATGTACATGGAAAATGTAAACGTCACTGGAGAAATGCAAGAACCAGCATGGAGCTTGTGTTCTGGAAGTGTTAACACACTTTCTAGTGGTATACAGGAGTGTGATCAATTGGCTCATGAATATAAAAATATCTAGAAATAGTTACTATTGTATTAATGGCACAATAGTATTATAATAATTGTTGAGCCATAGTTGACTGTGCTTACATTTTATGGTAGAGGGAAATTCAAGTGAAAAGCTTTATAGAAAAATTATGCAAATTTGAGTTGAGAATATTTTTAAGTTTTATGTAAATGTAAAGTGCTGTTATATCTTTAAATACAATATATTTTTACCATGAACTTTTTTCTTTCTGTTAAATGTTAACTGTTTAAACCAGTAATTTTTGTAAAATGAATGAATGAATTTTTGTGAATGAATGAATTTTTTGTAAATGAATGAATATTGTTTTAAAAAAGTACCTTTAGGTGAATTGTGTACTTTGATTAAGTCACTTTAATTTATAGAATTGGATGTTTAAATATGTGATTGTTGAGGTCCTATTAAAATCATTATTCATATTTTGTCCACTGCTCAGTGCTAGGTAGGAGGGAAAGTCTTTCTGGATTATTTTACGTGATGAGCTACACAGTAGTGTGACTAACCGCGATAGAGTAATCATCTGTCGCCATTTGGAACTGGCCACAGAAGAGGGAAGGTGTTAAGTAGGTTTGAAAAGTTGAATGAAATACAGCTGGAGGAGTCCTTGAGCAGCAGCAATCTCTACAGCATACCAGATATAGCTAAATGATGCTGTTGTCCTTGTGTTCCAGAAAGTGAAAGACACTCATATGGAAGATTTTTACAAAGAGAAAGAAGCAAATTGTGACTGTCTACCAAGTAGAAGAATTGAAAGTACAAGAACTGGGGAATCTCCACTGGATACCACCTGTTTTTCTAAAGAAAAAGACATGAGTGAATTCCCACTCCACTCACTTCCTGACGGTGTTGACCAAGAAGTCTTTAAGCAGCTTCCTGCAGACATTCAAGAAGAAATCCTTTCTGGAAAATCTACAGAAAAATTTCAAGGGAAAGACAGTTTAAATTGTCCATTACATGCCTCCAGAGGAGTTTTGTCATTCTTTTCTACAAAGCAAATGCAAGCCAGTCCCCTAAGCCCCAGAGATAGTATGTCCAATAGCAAGCAGGTATTGGCTGTGTCTCCTTGTGAGCCAGGAACGTCAGGTTTAAGTACCAGTAGTTCCTCTTATCCATCTTGCAGAAAGGATTGTTCGTATTATATAGATAATCAGTTAAAAGATGAGCGAATGAGTCAAGGACCTAAAGAATCACCAGGATTCCACTTTTCGAACACAAATCCTGCAGTTTCTGTTTTCCATTCATTTCCAAATTTGCAGAGTGAGCAGCTTTTCTCCAAAGACTGCAATGCAGATAGCCATAAACAAACAGCAGCTACAACCTCTCATCAGGGAATTGTCGAAACTAGAGAACAAGACTCCACTGATGAGAAAACTGCTTTTCCATCTGACATTGACCTTCAGGTTTTCTATGAACTACCAGAAGAGGTCCAAAAAGAACTGATATATGAGTGGAGGAGAACGGGGTCAGACTTCCACACTGTCCATGAATAAAGCATGTTCAGAAAGGCTTCCAGAGAGCAAGGGGATAATCAGTGTCCTCAGGTGAGCATCTCCTGAGTTCTCTGTAATTAAACACTGATACTCAGTGACAGAAATGCAGTGTGAAGTGTTCGAGAAAAAGCAAGGATGAGTGCAAGAAGTAAATGCCAGGACAAAGGAAAAATATAACAAGCAATAATGTAAAAATACCCTCCTCCTATTTCTGCATCTGTTTTATATTACTTTCCAATAAAAGGAATATCATGGTCAACAGTAATGCATTTAGTATAGTTTAGGGTAAGATGTTATGTGCCAGTGTGCAAAATACAGGTTCATCACAGCATAGCAATGCTGTGGTAAAGAGCAGGAGTTTTCTGTAAAATTTGCAACGTCCCAAGCATTTCAGTCTAAGCCAGGTGTGGTGGTGCACACCTTTAATCCCAGCACTTGGGAGGCAGAGGCAGGCGAATCTCTGTGGTATTGAGGCCAGCCTGGTCTTCATAGTGAGTGCCATTCCAGCTGGAGCTACAGGGAGACTCTGTCTCAGAACAACCAATTAAAAAATATTTAGTCTGTAACACTAAACAGGAAAGCCTGTTGCCAGCTTTTAAAATGTGTATGTCTTTGGCCAAAGTACTGCATACAATTTAATAAATTGACTTGAATTTTTGTTTTGCTTTTCTGTTTGTATATTAGTGCCCTACTGTGTAGCCCAGACTGATCTCAGTCTTGTCATCTTCCTGCCTCAGCCTCCTGATAGCTGTAACTATAGGCATGCTTCAGTATGCCCAGATAATAATCGGCTATTAAAGATTTTATTTATTTTATTTATGTATATGATCACACGTGTGTGTGTGTGTGTGTGTGTGTGTGTGTGTGTGTGTACAGGTTTGTGAAAGCCAGAAGAGGGTGTCCAATTCCTTCCTAGCTAGAGTTACAGGCAATTGTGAACCACCCTGTATGGGTGCTGGGATGCAAACTCTGGTCCTCTGACAGAGCAATACATGCTCCTAACAGCTGAGCCACCTCTTCAGTCCCATAACTGGCTTTTAAAGTAGTAAGGCAATATATAATGCAATTAGTGGTTTTTCACTCAGAACCTACCACAATACCCATCATACAGAGACTTGTGTAAAATTTGAATGAATGAATGAATGGTGTGGCTGGTCAAGGTGGAGATGTGGGTAAGAGAGGTTGGTGTGTTACAGAGGCTAGTGAGAAAAAAAAGCATTATTGTTAAATTATTAGCTTTATTAGAATTATTAAAGCAAAGATGGAAAGATGCATTATTAGAATCTATTAAGGCAAAGATGGGCATCTGGAATGCAAGGGGATGGGCCTCGAAGCTTTTCTCCTTTCCTGCCAAATTAAATACTAATTTTTGATTGAGCATACCTCAGAATTTATAAGGATGTTTCTAGAATACCAAAGCACTGAATTAGAGAAATCTTTTCATGGCTGCAATTTTTACAGATACAGTCTCTAAAGACTTAAAGTACACATATGTGAATAAAAGTAGCTTAAAATCCTTTCTTGTAGGCCAGAGATTTTAACTAGGTTTTAGATTTCTTATAATTTGAGAATCTCTGAACCACTAAAACTTGAGGATTTGGTTTGGGTTTTGGTTTCTTGGGACAGGGTCTCTGTGCCCCCCCCCGCCCCGTTGCCCCAGCTGGCTTGGAACTCAATACGTAGACCAGGCTGGCCTCTATCACAGAGACTGCCTGCTTATGCCTCCTGAGTGCTCGTGTTAAAGGCGTGTGCACCCAGCATTTGTGTGTTTCTTTGAGTCAGTGTCTCATGAGGTCCAGGTTAGCCTAGAATTCAGTATTGTAGTAAAGATTACCTTGACCTGCCTTCACCTCCTAAGTACTGGGTTTACAGACATGCATCACTTCACCCAAGTAGTTTGAGATTAGCTAAAACAATCTGTACCCAAGACATCCAAAGTTGTTTATTTGTAGTAGTTCCTACAACTATGTAGTAAAACTCATAAAAGGAGTATGTCGTGATTTGAGTGAAAATTATCCCCCATAGGCTCCAAGCATTTGAATACTTGACCCCAATGGATGGAGGTTTAGGAGGTATGGCCTTGCTAAAGGAAGCAGATCCCTGGGGTGGGCTTTGAGTTTATAGCCTCGTCCCAGTTCCAGTCTTGCTCTCTCTGCTTCCTGTGTCCCTGAAGATGTGAGCCCTCAGCTTTCTGTTGCCCACTGCCTCCTGCCATGCCTCCTCACCATGATGGGCTCTTATCCCTTTGGAACCATAAGCCAAATAAGTTGGTTTGGTCATAATGTTTTGTCACAGCAATAGAAAAGCAACTAATTAGGATGCTGTGCATTAAGCAACTATTTAGGACCAGTGTCGTAAAACTCATAAAAGGAGTATTTCACTTTTTGAAAATTTATTTTAAATTTCCTATGCTGTGGATATGCCTTAGAGGTGAAGTACTTGCCTGATGTGCAGTGCCCTGCCAGTTCAAAACAATCCCTAGGTAGTATATAATAACCATTTGTTATGGTGAAATTGGGGTCCTCAGTTCCTGTGTTAACGTAGGACACTCCAACAGTAGTGGAAATGAAAGTTTATGACAGAAGGACAGTGCACTCTCAGTGAGAGTGTGGCCACTCTAGTCTGGGTGTAGGGATTCCTTCATTAAGTCCTTCCACCATTGGGTAGAGGCAAGGAAGTTTGACAACTCAGAGAGCTATATGACCTTTGACTCACTGCATGATCGACTGTTACCCAGAACCCCAGATTGTACTTGAAAAACCCACAGGGGTATTGTAAATGATAAGGTAAACATAGCATATTAGCCACTAAGGCACTGCAGGCTCAATCCAGTTTTTGCTTATGTGCCCATACTAATTGTTCTGTTTTTGTTTTGAGACAACATTTCAGACAGCTCAGGCTTGCTTCAGACTCAGTATAGCCAAGGATGACTGAACTTCTGTTCTTTATCCTCTACCTCTCAAGTGCTGGGGTTAAAGATGTGCACCACTACCCCCAGTTTATATTGTGCTTGGGATAGAACCCAGGGCTTCATGGGTTAGGCAAGCACCCTACCAGCTGAGCTACATCCCCAGGTCCACAGTAGATTTTTATAACTGCCTTCTTCTGTTCTTGTTTTAATCATCAGCAAACAGCTTGAGTAAAAGTCATAGGGTCCCAGTACCCCCAGGGGGATGTAACATTCCCTTAGTCCCGAGTTCTGCCCTCTTGTTCTACTGCTAATGTCTCGCTAACTACACTATCAACGACGATAGCAATAATCCTTGTAATGCTTTCAGAAACTTACTTGATTAGGCTTTAAGAAAAGAAAATGTCAAAAAAGGAAGTCAGAGGCCCCATGTGGTCAGATTACAGTGCCTACCACTGCCTGGAGAGAGAGTACTACTGTCCTATGGCAGAGGTCACAGTGGAGACAGCCAGGGAGGAGCAGCTGCAACTGCCTAGGACTGGGCCCTCGGAGGTGGAAGTGACAAGATGGCAGATGATCCCAAAGGAGCACAAAGATCAAGAAGCTTGTTAAGAGTTTGGAGGTGGCCCCCGGGTGATAGCTGCATCCCTCTTGGATCCCAGACCCCTTAGGATGGCCAACCCCATACTGCATGACCGCAGGATTAGAACAAGGCACTAACCAACTCCTGCCTTCTGGGTAGGAGCTTCCCAGTAGAGGGTGAGATTGGGAGTGGCTGGCAGGAGAGGCCCTTCCCTGTTTTGGGTCAATGGTATGAGCATGGTATCATTGATCATAGTGCCCAAAGACCAGATTTCAGGAGTGACAGCAGAGGAGACTGGATGGAACTGCATCTATTATTAAGTCACCAGAAAACCACCTTCCAGTATGATAGTCTCAAACTTTGTAACACAGTGCCTCCAAATGGCCCGATTGTTTATTGTGGAGCAATTGCAACAGAAGAAGGAAAGGGAAAGAAAGTATTGACTTTGAACCTTTCAAACCAATTAATAGATGATTGCATTTGTGGCAGACTTCCCACAGAGCCTCTTATACCATCACTTGCAGAGGACAGCAAGTGTGACACTTCATGGTGATAGATGGCAGTGCTTCACATTCCAAGGAAACTAGAGAATTCCTGCAAGTTACCATGTAGTGGCCAAAGAAAGATGGTAGAGGAGGTCCATCAGCCTTGCGTTTTGCACTTTTTTTTGGTCTTTTTGAGACAGGGTCTCCCTGTGGCCCCAGCTGTCCTGGAACTCACTATGTAGACCAGGCTGGCCTTGAACTCACAGAGATCCGCCTGTCTCTGCCTCCATAGTGCTGGGATTAAAGACATGCACCACCATGCCTAGCACAGCGTTTTGCACTTTTAAGAATGGAAAAGCCGCATAACTTTGTTCAGAAAGTAGCAGAGGTTGCTGTGCAGCTGTTTATTGCTGAGAACAAAATGGATGTGGCTGATCTCTGACTTTAAAACAGAACTCAGTCAATCTGATAGACTTGATTAGAGATCGCAATCAAAAGTTTTAAATTAGTTGAAATATCCTACAAAATGGATTCAACCAAGCTTTTGAATTACATACTGAAGTTCTCTCCAACGTGAAATTCATTCAAGAGAAGAAATAAGGCCATATTTTGATAAAATTAGCCAGGACACAGGCAGGGACTGTTTTGGAAATACACCACACCAAACGGTTTGAAAATGAGAGCTGTGGAGGCTGTAATAGTTTATGAAAATCTGGATATAATGAGATATGTTTCTCATTGCCAAGGCACAGGAGAGGAGAAATTCTCTTAACTGCAGAACATGAGAAGAATAAATCCGTTTTACAGATAAAGAGACTGGACAGGAGCATGACCTGAGAGTATGTCTCTCTTGGAATGGTTGACTAGTAATACAAAGAAATTTAGAACTACCCTGGAAATTGTCATAGATAAGGATTCCAATTTGTGAAAGGATTTGGTGGAACTGTAGGTATCATGCAGTACTGAGCTTTCTAGGAAACAGACTCGAGGAGGTAGTGAAGTTTTTAAAAGTTCTGTGTGTATGAGTGTTTTCCCTGCATGTAAGTGCACTATGTGTATATCACCTGCAGAGGCCAGAAGAGGGCGTTAAATCTGGACTGGAGTTACAGATCATTGTTAACTGCCACATGGGTGCTCGGAATCCAACCTGGATCCTCAGCAAATGCAGCCAGGTGCTCTTAACCTCTGAGTCATCTCTTCAGCCCCGAGACAATGAATTTTTTGATCTGATGAGTACTAGGTAGTTGATTTGGATCTGGCAAAATGTGCCTCACATCCCAACAACCAACCCAAGGAGTATGCATGGTGGAAAGCCCAACAGATCCCTGCCTTACAAACAGGATGTTTTCCAGAATTTAATACATGAGTGCTGGATAATTACCGTATACTTTGGTTTGTCATGGTGTTAGCACAGTAGCTGTTAAGTTCCTAAATGCCCTTTTGGAATGATTTTTTAAAAGAATCACATTTTTTTACTTGATGGTAAAATTGGTTACTCTTGTATTTTATGAAAAAACATTTTTCAACCTTCATATATAAAAGCAAAAATACTTTAACTGCTGTAAGCCTTCAAAGATAAATAGAAGTGAAAATCATTCTGATTTGTTTCTTATTTTGATTGGAGAATAGTTAAATTGCTCTATTTCACAGTATTCCATTTACATGGCATTCTCAGCTTGGATCCCATATGAAATACACAGTAATTGTGAGACTCATTTCTCCCTTCTCTCTTTAT